TAAGCAAAAGGCAGATCTGTCCTGTGGGGCTCAGCTGAACCAAGGAAATTAGCAGGAAGAGCACAAAAGCAGGATGCTGCTCAGGGCTGGCTCCAGGTTTTGGAGGGCCTCCCCCATGGGCTCCCTCCCTCAGGGAGTGTATCATCTCCCTACCTCTGCCGCCAGCTGCCATTGCTCATCCACCTCTTTGATTTCATCCTTGCTACCACGTGCTTTCTGGGCAGGCAAAAACCCAGGGAGCAAATTAGCAGTGGTGGCTGTTGCCCCACACCACCACCACTGTTGCCTGGGCCAGAGCGAGTAGCAAGTCAACAGGCAGCTTGGAGTGGGGAAGAGAAGCACATCCAAGTGGCTTTTGCTGGTGGGCCCTGAGTGAGGTGTGGGCCCTTAACAGATGCTCCTTCACAACAGCTCTGCTTCTGCGCATGGGCCTTTCCCAAGCACTTCAGAGCAGGCAAATGCACTGGTTAATTGTGCTCCCTATTAACTCCTTGGCTGGGAAATTGCCAACTAGATGTTCCACCCTAGACATAAAAATTACCCCCGTCGGCCTGCCTTGGGGATTATCCCTCAACCACGATGTGGTGCTCGGCACAGTTCTACCCCGCTGCCTCCAAGGCTTTTGCCGCCTGCAGCTGTTGCTCTGTGAGGCAGCCGGAAACAGGGGGCTGCACGGCTCCCCGGCACCCGCTCACGCCTAGTTTTGCCAGCCTCTTGCTCAGCACCTGCACTCCTCCGAACGAACTGCTGCTGCGGTTGGGGGTGAGTTTTTATGAGAGATTTGCCTGCTCGTCTGCCTGGGACAGCGTTTGGCTGGTGGGCCTCTCTGGAAGTTTATGGCCTGACTCCTGCTTCCTTCAAGGTTTATGGTGGCAAAACACCAGGTTGGTTAACATTTTAATAAGGGTCACCTAAAACTGATGCAGGGGGAGGGGGAGCCTGAGAGCTGAAGGCTGAAGGGAAGGGAAACAATAATTTCTCCAAAGTATTTCATGGAAGACACAAAGAGACAAGGAGGACTTGAGGTTAAATGAATATTTCTATTTGACATGGGTGATTTTTAAAGGTTATATAGCAGGGGCTCAGAGGGTGGCGGGAGGCTGATAATTAAAAACAAACATAACCTGAAAGAAGACAAAAGGCAAAATGAAAGAACAAAAATATATTAGGAAGGAATTAAACATGGCAACCAAAGAGAGTTTGAATAAGAGGAAAAGTAAGGTGCAAGTATTTGGGGCTTTTTAAATTTAGAAAAATGGTGGTAAAGATTATAATATAGAACCAGCAAGTATTATTAATTTCATATCTTGTCAATACATTGCTTTATTAATATGGCTTATATAAAGTTATTAAGACATTTAATCTTATTTGTAAGACAGGGATATAAAAACTCAGTCTGGTGGCCAATTTGGCGTACCAATCTGCCCCCCTGGGATTCTCCAGATGGCTACCTCCTCTTTCCCGATCACCAATCAGATGGAGGATTCCAGGCCTTTCTGAAATTCTTCCTCATTCTAAGGCTGTGTTCCTGGCAGTCACAGCATTCAGCTAAAATATGTGGATAGTTTTGGTATTTTGGTCCTATCCCCTTTGCCTTTGGTCCTACCCACCACTGGAATGTGGCCTACGAGTACTTCTCTGAAATTGAATTTGGCCCTCAAGGATCAAGAGATTTTGCACCCCTGCTTTGAATTCTCCCATCCACAATACGAGGAACTAGGAATAGTGGTCTACATTACAGGGCTGCTGTGAATCAGGATACTGAGACTGTGTGTGCAAAGGAACTCTTCAATCAGGCTGCTATCCTGAGTCTAATTAGATGACTGTAGTCACAACTGGTTCGCTCCTAGCATTCCATCAAAGCAAAGGCTTCAGGAGAGCAGACATGTCTCTTGATATTTAACTCAGTTTTTAAAAAACTCAATAAGATTTGTACTCTGCTTGCCAAACTAAGATAAAAGTTGTGAAAAATTCTTTCCATACCTCCCTTTGGTTAAATTCTTAAGGGAAAGGGTTTCGGCATTAGGTCACACAAGCGGAAGAAAAACAAAATAGGTTATTTTAGAGGTGAATAATAGATTACTGATGTCATCCTGTGCGTGCATGCGTGCATTTGTGCCAAGCTGTTGCAAGGGCGGGTGGGAAGAAATTCCTGTGAGCATGAGTGATAAATTTCCCTAAAAGCAACCTATCTTGATCTCTTAGACTGGCCAAAAAGACCCATTTTCATTATCACCTCCAAGTGCCAACTCTGGATGCCAAGTACAATAAAGCAATGTAAACTATTCAAATGAAGTTAATTTTACAAAGTTTACCATTATTATCATCAGTATACTATTTGTAATTTAACTTGCAAGTTGTAATTTTGCTGAGTATATTTTGTAATATTATTATAAGGATTCAGGGCACAACCCCCTTCATGATAAGACAGAAAATATTTTTATTTATTTATTTATTTATTAAAACATTTTTATGCCGCCCCATTCGCCGAAGCCTCGGGGCGGCTTACAACAAAAAGATTAAAATAACATTTTAAAATATATACAATAAAATACAAATATATAATATAAAACATACACTATAAAACAAGCCGCCCTGGCCAAATAAAATTCAATAATATTAACATTTAAAATACTGCTTAAATAAAAAGGTCTTCACCTGGCACCGAAAAACAAATAACGACGGCGCCAGGCGGACCTCTCTGGGGAGCGCATTCCATAACTTAGGCGCCACCGCTGAGAAAGCCCTCCTCCGAGTAACCACCCTCCTAACTTCTTCCATGGAGGGCTCCCGGAGAAGGGCCTCTCCCGCCGATCTCAGGGGGCGGCTGGGCATATAAGGATGTAAGCGCTCCTTCAGGTAACCAGGACCCAAGCCGTTTAGGGCTTTATAGGTCATTACCAACACCTTGAATTGGGCCCGGACTTCAATGGGAAGCCAGTGAAGCTGACGGAGAACTGGAGTCATGTGAACATAACGTCCAGTCCCCGTCAGCAGCCTGGCAGCTCTATTTTGGACCAATTGAAGTATCCGGACCGTCTTCAAGGGTAGCCCCACGTAGAGCGCGTTACAGAAGTCCAGACGGGAAGTCACCAACGCATGTGTCACTGTCGCAAGGCAGTCATTCTCCAGATAGGGGCGCAGCTGATGAATTAGCCGAAGCTGGAGGAAAGCGCTCCTTGCCACTGCTGTTACCTGAGCTTCCAGTGAAAGCTCTGGGTCGAGGAGCACTCCCAAGCTGCGAACCTTGTCCCTAAGAGGGAGTGCAACCCCATTCAGGACAAGGTTCAATTCACGCTCTCCGAAGCTCGATCCACCAACCAACAGGACCTCCGTCTTGTCTGGATTGAGCTTCAGTTTATTGGCCCTCATCCAGCCCATTACCTCGGCCAGGCACCGGTTCAGTACAGCCACTGCCTCACCTGGATTGGTGGAAAACGAGAGGTAGAGCTGGGTATCATCAGCGTACTGATGGTTCCGCAGCCCACACCTCCTGATGACCTCTCCCAGCGGTTTCATGTATATGTTAAACAGCAAAGGGGACAAAATGGACCCCTGCGGTACTCCATGGCATAGCTGCCATGGCGCAGAGCCATAGTCCCCCAGCACCACCTTCTGGAACCGGCCATTGAGATAGGAGCGGAACCACTGCAAAGCAGTGCCTCCAACCCCCAATCCCGCAAGCCTATCCAGAAGGATACCATGGTCAATGGTATCGAAAGCCGCTGAGAGGTCCAGCAGAACCAACAGGGACGCACTCCCCCTGTCCTACAACTCCCAGTCAGCAACCATGGGGTCAAGCAGCCCAACTGGGATGTTTTAATTTAAATTGGTTTGGATTTGAATATTCAGTATATACTGAATATTTCAAACTAACAACCACTCTGATGCTTCCCCCACCCCCCTGAATCTTCAGACTTTGCCTTGAAAGCAAACACACTGTCCTTCTGCCTCCTTGCAAACATGCACCAAAGGTCTTCCTGAAGGTGTTGCAGGTGGGCAGGCGCTCAACAGCCAGCCCCCTGGGAGCTGGGAATGTGACAGAGATGAAAGGGACACTAAAGATCAGATGTGAGAGAAGGGCCTTTTCTCCAGCAACCATGCCTAACGTGTGAACTCCTGCTGCAGGGTGAGCAGCAGGGGGTGAGCAGCGGGGTCTGATTTGTGTTTCCTCTCTCTTTGGGTGGTGGAAAGTGCAATGCCACTCACTAGAAGCACCATCTTTGATCTGTGCGGAATCTGCATGTGATGCACCGGTGCCACTTTTTTGCGCAAGGATGCGCTGCGACAACTGGCGATATACAAGAGCACAGCATGAGGGAAGCCTGTGGGGAGCACTGTGGTGGGACCTGCCCTCTGCGTAGGGCAGCCTTCACTCGAAGGGGTGCCCTCCCAATGTGCCGAACTGCAACTACCAGCATCCCCAGCCAGCATGTCAGACCCATCTAGCAGGCAGCCGGTGGGGAAAGCCTGCCCTAGGCAGACTGCAGTGGGACCTTCTGATGTTTAAGGGGTCCCGTCTTGTTTTCCTATACTGATTAGGATGCCCCCCTCCCCACAGTAACTGCTGGTATACCATGGAGACGCCATTTCTCACCGTAGCTAAAAGCTGGCAAAAGACTGATTATGCCCCCCCCCCGAATCCCTTTTATTCTTTACAGCAGCCTTGCCTAATCTGACACCCCGCAGATGAGGTGGGCTGCACCTCTACCAGGCGGGCACAGCTGCTTTACAGGAACGGGTGCAGCTGGATGGAACCCAGCAGGGTCCCTCTCGCCCACCACATGGCCTCCCGCAGTGGCACCAACCTGCGCCCCGCTCTGGAAAGCCCCCTCGGAGTCCGAGGGCGGCCCCGCTTTCCGACCCACGAGGCGGGGGCTGGGCCGGCGCGGCGCGGCCTCGAGGGGCGTGGCCCGGGTGACATCAGTCCGGGGCATGAATGAACAGGGCGAGAACTTTCTCACTGGCTCCCATTGAGTTTTTCGACCAGTGAGGCTGGGAGGGCTGCTGTTGGATCCCGACGACCGGAAAGTGAGCCAGCAGCCAGCCCTGCGCTCGGGGAACAGCATGGGCAGTCTCCACGGGGCCAGCGGCCGCAGCCTCCTCGCTCTCCTCTTGGTCCTCCTCCGGGCGGCGCTCCGGGGTGCTCGAGCCCACGAAGGTGAGTGAAGACCGCTTGCAAGCCGCTCCGCAAACGGGGGCCCTTTCCCGCGGCGGAATCGTTCCCATCGCTGGCAACTGCGGGCTTTCCGCTGCCGCCCTCAGGCGAGCTCACCGGGCAGGAGAGAGGCTTCCTGCGCCTCGGGCGTCCCCAGGAAGGGGGGGGTCCCTAAAGAAAGTGCTCCCCCTTCTTCCACCGCTATTCGGGCAAATTTGGCTTTCCCCAGTGGGCTTCAGTGGCGACCTAGTCTGGGTCCTGCGCAGAGAATTGCGTGGTGTTTCGGTATTTCTAAGAAAGTCTTCTCTGGACTTCCGCGCACAAAGAAAGTGGAAGGGAGAAATTCAGGGACAGAAGTAGGGAGAAGGTAGGCAAGGGGTGGTTTCGGAGAGTCGAAATCAAAGTTGCGCGGAGGGGGGGGGGGGAAGCGAGGCCGCACGTCTTCTAGTGGATTCGCACTCCCACTCCGAATTCAGTCAGCCGCGTTACCCCCCACCCCACCCCGCTCCACGAGGGCCAGGGAGAGCAGAAAGCACTTGCTGAAATAGCTGGAAAGAACCGCTCCGGTTTAATCGCTGCGTGTAGATGGGGCGGGGAAGACGGGAGCCCTGGAGGGGGCTCTCCTTCCCGCATCGATTGTTAAGCGCCTAGAGTCAGTCCAGCAGGAGAGGAATCCCAAAGCGTGCCAACTCGGAATAAATCACGTTAAGTTCAGTAGCACTTGTTCCCTGGTGTGTTTCTGGGATTGCAACCTAGTTAATTGCCAGAATTTGGGCTTGCCCAGCAAAATGGACCGGCACGAGATTGAGAGCTGAAGGGAAAAAGCGATCCAGGGCTAGTTTATGACGCTCATTGTCTTCAGTGGGTTGATGGAACCGCAGGGATGAACAGGGCAGCTCCATCCGCCACTTCATCGTGCCCCCCGTCTGGGAGGCATCCTTCCCGGGAAAGCAGGAGCGCCCCTGGCTGCCTGCGCAGCCTGCTTCTGAGCTTTCTGGGGATTTCCAGCAGCTGCAGTTGGGAACAGGAGGGAAGATTGGCTGGGAGCTGGCCCTGAACCAGAGGCTCTGAAGGGCTGGCTGCGCTGCTTTCTGGGATCGTCCTGTGGCTGCGCCATTGGGCTCTGCAAGTTGGAAGTCTATACACAGAACGCGCCGCGGCCGCTCGACATCCTGTAGAGCTCTTTGAACAGGCCGAAGCCTCAGACAGTTAAAAGGCATTTTTAAAATTCCAGAGGGTGTTTTATAGAGCCAGCTTTTTGTCTGTGGTGTGTCCCTTTTTGTGTGGTTTTGGAATGTGAAGGAGAATTGGTTACAGGCAGAGGTTCCTCTGGGCATCAAGCAAGAGACGGTGAAGGGATTGTAACTGAGGAAGTATTCTGTAGATCTCGGAAGCTTGCACCTAGAGGAGGATGGCCTAAGAAGAGAAACCCGGCTGCACCATGCCCTTCTTCCAGTCCCTTTAGAGCTTCCTGAGCTCAGATAGGAAACAGCACTGCCCACAATGGGAAGCCCTTTCTTTGGGGGGCTCTGTTTGTAGCATCTGGGGGAGGTGTGGTAATTCACGCACCTTGATTACACAACTGAGCCTCTGAGGTGGTGATGGTTCATACCAAGTTGGGCAACGGCAAATAAATATTCTGATTGCTAAGAAAGAAGGGTGGGTCAGGGAGGGGCACTGAATCAGCACTAGGAGACAGGTGATCAATTCAGGTGCTATCCTTTGCAGGAAGTTCCCCCTTTTTTTCTTTGAGAGGGATTTAGAAATCTGGACTTGATCTGTTTGAGAGGTTATTCATTTTCCTTCACTTTGACTCAAACAGTGACTACTTGGTCTGCCTCCCTTGCTGCCGCTGCCACCACCCCATGTGCCGCCTGTTCTCTTTTGGCCACCCGTGTGGAAAGTGACTGTCCTCTCCATGAGCGGAGAGGTGTCGCAACTGGCGATGGCATTCCTGGTTTCTTCAGCTCCCACCTGGGGGCCTGTTTGTGCTTGGACATAAGTGGCATAGGAGAAGGACCCTTTTGGAGCGTCGGGTTTCAAGAAAGTACAATTTCTCTGAGTCAGATGGGAGGGTTACTAGTGTATCCAAGATAAGGCTTCTCACGGCTGAACCAGCCCATCGGCCTCTTTTTCCCTTGGCAGAGTCATGGCATGACAAGTTCCCCCTTGGCCCAGCGTAAGCAGGAGGTGGAGACCAGCGGCACCCAGTCTCCCAGGGTAAGCCCTTCTGCTGGGCAAGTCCAGACACGTGCTTGGGTGTGTAGTCTCTTGGCCTGAAAGCCAGGATTTGCCATTGGAGCTAGGGGCTTACCTTCGAGCCTATTTTCAATAACAAGTATCTCTGGAATGTGTGAGGCAATGCTAAGAATTTAGTCACAGCAAAGAAAGAGCTCCTTGGGGCATGTACAGAAAGCCCTATATCCATTTATTCACAACAACCAGGTCCTTTTAAGCAGGGACTTGCTGGTTGGGCTCCTGGCATGTGCCTGGGAAGTGCCAGCCTTGGTCTGGGATCTAAGCGGAGTTACAGCCCCCCTCCTCAGCTCGTATCATTAAAGGTTGCAAACTTTCTCTTTTCTTTCCCAAATCACCCCTCTTGCTGTGTTTCTGAGGTTCCCTGTTGCAGGGTTATTTTTTTAAGGGTCCAACTCAGTAACTTGCTGTCCACCCGGGCAGTGTTAAGGCAGCAGAAGCAGCAGTGCTGAGAACACAGCAATGGGAACTGTTGCTCTGGGGACTGGAGGCCCCCCAAAATGCATTCGTCCAGAACGGAGGGGGGATATTTCACCCCTAGGGCCAGCTCTGATTCAAAGGCAGATATTTTGTTGCATGCAGCTGTAATGCATCGTTCAGTCCTGGCTTGGGTAAGAAGCATTTTGGTGCACATCCGCCCACACAAGGGGGTTGTGTTTTAGTGAGTAATAGGAAACCTATGAAATTGTGCCTCCAAAGTGGGATCATGAGGTGGCATGTGTGTTCTACGTGGAAAAATCACAGTGAGGTGTCTTTAAGACCAAACACTGGCAGTCTGGTTGGCAACTATTGCCTGTGAACCAAATTTGGGCCACTTGGTTCCCAGGCTTCACAAAACAGCTTGAGAAGATCAGCTGTGGGATGATGGAGGCCGGGGAAGAGGCCTCTCCATCACTAGCTGGTTTTCACTCACTCTTCCTCCAGGCAAACCACTTCAGCTCACCTGAGAAGAACAGGGGAGCTAAAGTTGGGCTAACCAGCTGGCTACTCTGTGGATGTGTTCTGGTTTGGGGTACAGAGCTACCTCTGGTTTAATAAAGGCAGCGGCGATGGCAGCATTGAGTTCTGTCTCCCTCTTTGCCCGTCCGTCATTTTTTAAAACAGCAGCTGAAGAGGAAGTACATGGGTCTGTCTGGGGGAGAGGAGTGGCAGGAGCGCTACTGCTAGACTGAGGCAGGCCTGCCCTGCAGCTCCATGGGGCTGCTTCTTCCAAACCTCAAAGCCAAAAGGCCCCATTTGGCTCACTGCAGGAGGAGACAGGAATGTTAATGAAGAGGCCAGGATTGCCGCTTGGGCTCTAATTATGCTGGGGAAAGAGACCAGAAGGGGTTTGTCCGGTAGACAGTTCCTCTCCAGATCCACTCCCTGGCCTTGGCACTGCTCATTGCGGGTTCCCCTGGAACACAGATGTTGGAGCTGAAGGACAAGGCTTCATGAGGCTCGGTTTTCCAAAGCAAGCTCCATGGGGAGCTGTCCCTCAGGTCCCCCAAACAGTTGCCTCCGGGTGGAGAAGCTGAAACATGGAAGCTGCTCTTCACGACTCATCTTGTTGTAACTGCCCTTTCTCCTCTCTTGCCTCTCTCTCACAATGGAGATGCCACACAGCAGTTCTGGAGATAGCGCTGAGTGAGTGGCATTTTCTTTTAATCCCAAGGTGCCGAAAAGTAACTGGCCTCAAATGAAAAGTATTAATTAAACCCACTGCCAAATGTTCCACCAGGACAGAATTGGCAATGGGTCCTTTTTACCAGGGAGGGTAGATGCCAGGTTCCCCCCACCTCACTTTCTAGTGTTGCCAGGGAAAGTAACTTTGCATCCTTGTCCGGAATCCTCCTCCAAAGCCTCTGAGCCGCTCTCAACACATTTGGCTTGAGGCCTAAAGCGAAGCTTGCACCTTCTTGTGGTGCTGGAAACAGTGGCTTGACTCTCCAGTCTAGTTGGTGCTTGCAGCAAAGTAAGAGGTGCTGGGGCTGATGCCCAGCTGGATTGCCTTTGTCTCCTGCACCCTTTCTTGTTAATTTGGATCTGCAGGAGCTGTTTGTAGCTACTAATAGCCAAACAAAAGCACTTTGTGTACATTTTTAGGGTTGAGTTCTGGGGCTTCCATAGCATTTGCTTTCTTGGAAAAGTAAATTTTTACTGATTGCCTGTGGTTTGTGCCTTCATGGCCTGGGTATAGAAGGTGATTTATGTAAAGCATTTTGAGCATTTATTTGTTAGATGAGAATTGCTAGGACTTGAGTCAGCTTCAAAGTCGAATCTTATACAGGGAACTCTCTCCATCTGGGGTGTGCCTGGAGCTACAGCTCCTTAGAGCTGAGAGAGGTTTCTGCATGTGCTCAGAGGCACTCTGTTCTTTTGTGTCCTTCCATGATTTTGCATTAGGGTAAGATTTCAGTGGTTGTCTCTGTGTTGTTTTAAGTCCAGAATGCTGACTTTGAGCTTTGTGGTCATCCTGCTCAGCCACTCTCTGTCCTGTGGCATTACTGACTGGCTGGTCCCTGTGAACCACTTTGTCATAAGCTCTCAGTCATGCATAGAAATGTGGGGCAGTTTTCTCTCTTCTCCACCTCCCCCTTTTTGGCTTGCCATGCAACTGAAAAACAGGCAGTCAGAAAATCATACTGAGAAGGGAGGAGGGTAATGTTTAAAATTAACTCTGGAAGTCGCTGGGAAAGAAAAGCTGTTCCAGATGCTGCTTGCAAATATTCTAAGTGGAGAGTTGAGGGAAACCTTGAAGAATAGGC